TCTTTCTCTTTCTTCTTACATGACCCAGTCACTTTAAAGGTTAATGAAGCATTAGCTGAAAAACTGAAAAACTAGGCAGTATTTTGGCATGAGCAACTGTAAAATGTAATTATAATATGTAAAAATATCTATGTTTGGTTTGAAATACAGTTTGTAATAATGCCTATGTGCACAATGCTGAAGAAATAAAATGGAATGTGAAAGTGAGCGCTCTAAAGGATAGCAGCTATTGCACCAAAGGTAACCAATAAAAGCCTTCATCAATCAAATACATCAATAAAGTGCAGCGCTAATATTAATCGGTCAATGTAAAAATGAGAAATATATAAATGATTCAAAAAGTGACAGTCCGTGCAGGTCTAGGTGAAGCTAGTATCAATCACGATCCAGTGTCGGTGCTCCCAAAATAATATGGTAAGAGTACGCACTCACCAGATGCGTAATGTTAATACGCATTAAAGCAGTAAAGGTCCCCTCTATGAGTTGGATGTGGTCCTGGACAGGGAAGATTCTCCCTCTGCATACAGGTGGTGCTGTTGGAGCTCTCAAGTGGTGATGGAAACAGTCAGCCAGAGGCCCCTTTAAGGGGTGGGTGAATATAGAAGCCTATATGTCAGGAACTCCCATCTCTGGATACTTGTAAAGTGCTTGATCCAAATGGTTCTAAAAATCAATTGCTCCACATGGGAACATTGCTGTGTCTCCTATGAATATACCTGCCCTTAACCTTGTGTTGTTTAACCATATGATTCAGTAAATTATATGAATATTGAAATACTACACTATGGGCACTATTCTTTGGCTTCCCATGTGGAGCAATTGATTTTTAGAACCATTTGGATCCAGCACTTTACAAGTATCCAGAGAGGGGAGTTCCTGACATATAGGCTTCTATATTCACCCACCCCTTAAAGGGGCCTCTGGCTGACTGGTTCCATCACCACCTGAGAGCTCCAACAGCACCACCTGTATGCAGAGAGAGGATCTTCCCTGTCCAGGAGCACATCCAACTCCTAGAGGGACCTTTACTGCTTTAATGCGTATTAACATTACGCATCTGGTGAGTGCGTACTCTTACCATATTATTTTGGGAGCACCGACACTGGATCGTGATTGATACTAGCTTCACCTAGACCTGCACGGACTGTCACTTTTTGATCATTTATATATTTCTCATTTTTACATTTACCGATTAATATTAGCGCTGCACTTTATTGATGTATTTAAATGCTGAAGAAATGTTTAAACATATATGTAATATGTAGTATAACACTCATTTTTCTGTTTTTATTCCAAAAGAATAAACACTTTAAACAGATACTGTATGTAATAGGACAATGTAGTGTAAATAAATATTAATATTGGTTCAAGAGAAAACAGAAATAGAAAATTTGCATGAAAGCAATGCATCAATTATCTGACACAAATAAAAGCGCACATTCAGGAAATATGTTAAATATACTATCCAAATTGTTTATGAGGTAATAAAGTGCTCGTGAGAGAATTTGCTGTTAGAATATTGAAGTGTGCCCACAGATTGATTTATGTGCTAGTTTACTTAATGAAAATGGAAAGTAAGATTGAATACTGTACAGTGTTTAAGAAGTGGAAACCCAGCAGTATTAAATCAAGTGGACCGAAGAATTAAGTAGAAATGTATGTGAAATAGTGGATGGATGAAAAAATAATCATGTCTTTGTCTAAGTAGGCACATATTGTTAATATTACAGCCCATCTTTGTAAAAACTCTCCAGTGCTTTATAACTCTAATCAAGAAAAAAAATAATCTACAGCTACAGTAGTAAATATAACCAATACATAATTCTTAGATGTGAGCTTTCTTTGGTAGAAACAGTCAATACTGGTATTGTTTTAAATAGCTTCTCCAGAAAAAAAAAATGTAAAGCAACGTTTCACGTAAAGAAGGAAAAGATGGACCATGAAGTCAGATGAAGCAATCGGAGGGCTTATTGAAAGTATAGGCACAAAAATCAATGAGTATCAAATGACATCTTAACACGCTTCACACTGAAAAGTGTTTAATCACAAAGCTAGCACTTTTCAGTGTCAAATGTGTTGAGGCATTATCTGATGCTCATTGATTTTTGTGCCTACAAAACCCTGTGATTGCAGCATGACCATCTTTACTTGATTACCTTAAGTCAATGGCCAGGAAAGGTAGGGTTTTGTGGCACAGTGGCAGGTGGATTAGGGACAGTATTTCTTACTGACAGCAGTAAACTTGCCTCTTAATATTTCAAGCAGTTAGTTAATATACAGCATTAAAAAAATTCTATATTTTTATGTGTAATGTCCCTTTAAGAAAATTATTCATGCAAAACTTAAATTGCCTTGTGCTATTTACATACATTGTGTGACAATCTGAGATATCCAGGATGCATACAACTGATATCTGGGCCTGTGTACATCTTAAGAGTGAGCAAGTACATAAATGATTTTTATTAAATTTGTTTAATATTGTAAAAGTTGTCTTTTCCTGTATTAAAAAAAAAGAAAATACTCTTCAAACGTTCCCTTGTAACAGCTCATCCTATATTTGTTTACAGTAATTGAATGGGCAAATATGTGAACCCATCACAGAAAAAATGATGTAGCTAAAGAAACACAGTACCAGTTCATCAGCATGTTGGACTGCATCTGTCAGCACCTTAGACATAGTGGGGAGAGGTGCTGGAGAACATATAGATTAGTAGAAGCTGAAGCTATAAATAGGCACTGGAACAGAAATTGACACTATACATTCAAGGGTCAGTCTACTAAATACAGATTTTTCTATTATGGGTGGAAGCTAGCAGGCTAAATGATCTGCTAGCTTCTTACATTTCTTTGATACTTTACTAAAGAGATCTCTTAGTGAAGTGACCAGTTCTGCTCTGCACCATCTTGGAGTCTAGCTTCTACTATTACAGCTGAAAGAATCCAAGTCTAGAGGGACAATAGCATCCCTTTATAATACATTTGGTAAGGTAGAACTAAAGGGTTGCATCATTTATGGCTGTGCAGGGTTCCTGAATAAATGTAATGCTGCTGATCCTGCCATGGATATCATCCTGAGTTTCTGGCATATCTGTCAATGTCAAAATTAGAGTGGCACCCTTTGTGCAGAGAGAGGAAGACATCCCGGGATTTCTCTTAATATGTCACATAACAAAGGGTCAAGAAGAAGCTGCAGAAGATCATCAGCATTACCCTTGTATTTGCATATGTTTGATAAAGATGTGACCTATGGTTTGTATGCTTACATCTCTGGTAGTCATAATGACTTTGAAAATGAAGACTAGATGAATATACTGTATGTGCTATTCTACCTTGCATGGTAAGTTTTACCATTCTAAAAGTTCTACAGGTATGCCCACTTCTCTTATGGTTGCATTCAGTTGGTACTGTCACATGCTCATAGAATGTTATTATTGCCCCCTTTCTTATGTAACATGCAAAAATACTTGTATTCCCCTGGTAGTGATCAAGGAAATAACACTCCTCACAAACACTCCCCCACGCATTCTTCATGGGTTCAGCTTGGATGTGTATTTTTCTTGTGTTGTTTCTTCACTTACTGAGAGCCTACTTAATCTGGACTGTTCTGCTGGATTCTCGAAATTGTATTTGTTTAGTTCACCTGTTTAAGATGTTTTCCTTTGATCTATTATCCACTTGCCTACCGGGCACTTTTATCCCCTTCCTGCCCAGACTAATTATAATTTGAATGACAATTGCACGATCATGCGACACTGTACCCAAACTTAATTTTTATCTTTTTTAGACAAATAATGCTTTCTTTTGGTGGTATTTGATCACCACTGAGGTTTTTATTTTTTGCTAAACAAGCTGAAAAAAAGTGTTTCTTAGTTTTGTAAATAAGTAATTTTTCTCCTTCAGTGATGGGCACTGATAAGCTGCACTGATGGGCACTGATGAGTCACTGATGGGCACTGATAGGCTGCACTGATAAGGCTGCACTGATAGGTGGCACTGAGGGCACTGTTAGGCAGCACTGATGGGCACTGTTAGGTGGCACTGATGGGCACTGTTAAGCGGCAATGACGGGCAATGATAGGTGGCACTGAAGGGCAGCACTGATAGGTGGCACAGATTAACTGATGGGCACTGATTGCCAGCACTGATTGCCAGCACAGATAGGCACTGATGGACACTATTGGCCGCACTGCTGGGGCTACACTGATCACCAGGATACTGATGATCAGTGCCCTGATGATCAGTGTAGATGTCCTCCTGCGAGATGCCGCTTACCAGCTCTCCTCTCCTCATGCTCTGTCAGCGTGAGGAGAGGACTGCCAATAACTGGCATTTCCTATTTACCCGGTGATCGGAACAGGCCAATCACAGCCACTTCATACCATGTGACCAGCTGAGTCCAATAACAGTTGGTCACATGGGAAAATGCGGCTGTGATTGGCCTGTTCTGTAGCCATGGGATCAGCTGTCCAAAGGCCATGGACGCCCTCCCAGAACTAGCCAACCACGCTGTAGCCATCTCTTGGCTATAGCACGGTTGGAAACTGGTTATACATTCACTATCTATATTTTTCCACACGGTTAGCCTAGGTGTGACTTTAGTATTTACCTTCTCCAAATTTGTAGTAGAATAGTCATGTCTATTCATTAGTCTTAACCACTTGCCCTCCAGAGGATTTACCCCCCTTCCTGACCAGGCCATTTTTTGCATTACGGAGCTGCATTATTTTAGCTAACAATTGTGCTCTCATACAATGTTGCACCCAAATGAAATTTATGTCCTTTTTTCACACAAATAGAGCTTTCTTTTGGTGGTATTTGATTGTCTATGTGTGTTTTTTGTTTTTTGCGCTATAAACAAAAAAAGACCAACAATTTTGAGAAAAAAACAACACCTTTGACTTTTTGCTATTAAACATGTCCAAAAAAAAATTAAAAAAATCAAATTTCATCATAAATGTATTCTGCTACATGTCTTTGCTAAAAAAAATTCCTAATACGTGTAAATTAATTGTTTTAAGTGAAAGTTATACCGTTTACAAATGGCAGTATATACTGGAATTTTTTTTTTTACTAGTAATGGTGGCGATCAGCAACTTATAGCGGGACTGCGGGACTGCGGCGGGCATTCTGACACTGGGGAGAACTGACTTGATGTCACTGACATCCCCAGTGGCACCAATACATTGATCAGTGCTAATAAAAAGCACTGACACTGTATTAATGGCACTGGGCAAGAAGGGGTTAAGATGTGGGGCGATCAAAGGGTTAACTATGTGCTGTGTGCTGTTTTCACATTATGAGCTGTATGTGCTTTCAACTCTACGTACACTGCTTTGTATGGTTCTGCTATGCAGAGCCATACAAAGCAGTGTGCAGGAGCTGACAGGGGAAAGAACTGTTTTGTTTACATACAGTTCTCTCCCCTGTCAGTAATACTCGGTGATCACCAGGTGCCAGCGAGTAATCACTGGGTGGGACCCGGTGACTGACAGCCGAGGCCGCGAATAGGCTCACGCGCCCCCTACCCTGAACTGCAAAATCACGTATATATAAGTGATTTTTGCACACCCGTGCCACCCTGTAGCAGTATTTCTGCTATAGGGAGGATGGGAAGTGGTTAAAACCCTACTCTAGGCACCAGAGAAAACAATTACCCTTGCAGTGGGGCACTGCAGGAGAAAAATATTCATTAATCTTTGGGTAGAGGAATAATCTATAATAATTACTTTAAACTTAATCCGATAGGCTGCCCTCCACTGTGTGAGTGATCCCCCAAAGCTTCTTCTCTAAGGCACTCCAGCCAGTGTTCACTCTTTGCTGTCATCACACACAATGCAGAGCTGTTGGTCATCTATTGCACAAGAGGACAGCAAGGGCCCATCTATAAACAAGAGTGCCTGAGAGCCAGAGCAAGGGATATGGTGAGAAGTACATTACATTGTTTCAAATACAACTGTACTTTAATTTTTTGTTGTTGTTTAATTTGCTCTCCACATCATACCTGGTGTTATACTTACGTTCAATCCCAATCCAACAATTGCTCTGTTTGATTTTGCTGAGTCACACAGCCTTTCTCCCAAAAACAGTGCTCCGTACTGCACTTTCTACAGCCCCATTCATTGCTTTGAGAACATCAAGCCCATGGCAGTCTCAAGTGGTCTCTCAAAGTTAAGGCTTTTCCATAGAAATGAATAGGACTGTGGAGCCTATGAGCAGTACAAAGCAGCCAATTTCAGGAAATAGACTGTGTGTGGCTTGGAGCACAGCTAAATGAAAATATAACAACAGCTGGGCCATACTCAGGGGGTAGACAAAGCAAAAAAAAAGGATAACAAAAAGTTGTTGGGGCAGCACAATGGCTAAATGGTTAGCACTTTGGCCTGGCAGTACTAGGGTCCTTGTTTACAATCCCAACTATGGCACCACCTGCCTGGAGTTTGCATGTTCTCCCTGTGCCTGTGTGGGTTTCCTCTGGATTTCTCCAACACACTAAAGAAATGCTGGTAGGTTAATTGGGTATCTAAATTGGCCCTAGTAGGTGTATGTATGAATGTGAGGGTTAGGAACTGATGAGAATGTACAAATATATATATATATATATATATATATATATATATATATATAGTGACAGTGTGGCAATCTGTCACGATATAAAAAGGATATTTCACCCGGGATTCTCAACAAGGCAGGTTGAGGGGCTCCAGGGTACTTGTTTAATGCAGAGGAACGTGGCTTTTCACTTTCCTTGTTTGCTTGTAAAGTTTATTTTGGGACCTGGAGCCTGGAGATTTCAAAGTGATTTGGGAGGGATGAAATCTCCAATCCAGATTTTGGGAATGGCCAGGAGACTGATTGGTCAGGTGTGCATGGCTCTCTTCTAGAGTCAGGACCAGGGTTCTGGGCTCCACCCCGGCAGACAGGAGGTCATTGCCCTGCAGTCAGGAGGGCTCCACCTAGGAGAGGTGGAAGCCAGAGCAGCAATGGGCTGCTAGCTGTGTGCAAAAAGCCATTTTTTGGAAGGAGGCTGTGTGCATACAAGGAGTCAAACACTGTGTGCTGGAACTAGCCAGTATCTGGGAGACCCATATAAATAGAGGTACTGCTAACCAGCAGGGCTGATAAAGAGAGCCAGGAGGCTGAATATTTGTTTTGATGGTGAACAACCCTGCGTGGGAAATACATGTTATGAAACTTTCCTTTTAAATATAATTGGGCAAAAAGGCCCTTAAACAGAAGAAGCAAGTGGCTGTGTGCTTTACAAAACTCTACGCTTGATGCTAGTTCCCCACAATATATATATATATATATATATATATATATATATATATATATATATATATGTAAAGTGCTGCGTAAATTGACGGCGCTATATAAGTACCTGTACTAAATAAAGAAATTGTTGTCCCTTAACCTCCCTGGCAGTATTCCCGAGTGTAGCTCGGGGTAACATTTCAGTACCAAAAGCGGTAACCCCGAGCTACACTCGGGCTTACCATGTGGCACTGCTCCGGCATGTGTTCTTCACTTACCTTACCCTGCGCTCCCACGATGTGTCCCCTGCAGCGTCCCCGGCTATCTCCTCCAGCCGATGCCGGCATCCGGCTTCTGTGTCCTGTCCCTGTGACGTCGGGATGTACGGGCGCCGCGCGGCGGCGGGAAATTTAAAAATTTTCAAAAATGTCATTTTTTTTTTTTTTACATTTTACATAGTAAAACATTGCTGTCTCAACCAATTTCACATACATTGTGTCCCTAGTGCTTTGTCCTGCGCCCTGCCTGCATTTTGTCTGTTCTTTCTGCCTGGAAACTGAGAAATGTCCATGGCGTCCAAAAAGTGTCCCTTTAGGTCAAAAGCGGTTTAGATCAGCTAGAGAACAGCGATAGTAAATCAGAACCACTTGCAGAATTGAGTGATAATGATTCGTGGGGGAAATTCGTCATCAGACACTGAAAACGATTTTGCGACTGAGCTCAGCAATGTGCGAACTTGGCGCTATATTTCACATTTCAGTGTTTTTGGTTTGATTATATTATTGAATTAAATTTTTTATTATTTTTTATATTATTTTTATGATTATTTATTAAATTATAATTTATGATTTTGTGTTTCAAATTTTATCATACCCGGGATGTTTACTAGACTCTTGTTCGGACAGATTTCAGTGAGTTTTTCCTAAAAATTACAGCCTACAATAAAAAAAATACATATTTCCATGCAAAAAAATGGTACCGCTTTCAGCACCAAAAATCTGAAATAATCATACCGCCAGGGAGGTTAAAGCAGTATTAAACATCAAACGTAATATTTTGCAGCTTACCAATCATTAGATGTGCTGGCTGCATCAGTTTTCTTTTTTAGGCTTTTCCCCCTCTCTTTTCACCTGATGATCTGGCCAGTAACATACCTCCTGTATTACAGTGCCCCCACTCTCGATTGAGCATAGGGGGCACCTTTGGACGACATGCTTGTTAGTCTGTGGGTAGGGGAGTGTTAGATGGACTAACAGATATCAATACACTTACAAATCAAAGCCAGACTGGAGCTAATACTTTATGTATTTATACTTCCTAAGCACTTGCCTTTGGGTAAAGGTTTTACATACATTAAAAAAAAGCTGATCATTGTAAGCACCCCTGCTAGTGTCAAATGATTTGTTTCGTTTCTAACTGATACATTCTGCTGGAGAGCTTTTAAAATAAAAAAAAACAACTTACTGGATGGATCACCAGATAAAAATAGAAGAAAGAAAAAGAAAGAAAGAAAGAAAAGAAAGAAAGAAAGAAAGAAAGAAAGAAAGAAAGAAAAAATGTATGAAGCCATCACATAAGAACTGGCTGCAATATAATAAATGTTTTCTTTGGGGCTTGATACCACTTTACGCTGCTCCACTTTCTTCAAATTCCCTCTTTCACATTCTCTCTTTCGAATTTGACATATTTTGTTTCTCCTTTTCTAGTTTGTAGTCTCCTTCTACTACTTCTGTAGGCTTCTTCTGACAAATTAGCCTGTACTCTTTTTATTAAACAATTTCTTTATTTTGTTATTTTTTATTTGTGCTTGTATCTTCTTCCCTAATGTCTTATCAGCTGCCTGTTCCATACATCTTTTAAGTTCATCACATATATATCACACACCTCCAACACTGGTATAGAAGCACTCATGGCTCTTGCAGAGGAGATAGATCAAAATAGCAGGGTTTTTATTGTCAATGTTTCGATGAGGTTCAGTCCATCTTTCTCAAGACACTGCAACATGGTGAATAGACTAATAAACCCAAAGCCGCACTGTAATGTTCAGGGGATGTAGCACCTCAGGACCATGTGCAACAGCCATCATCTTAAGTCTATATTATATAAAAGTCTAGATTTTTTTAGGCAAACAAAAGAGAGCTTCCAGCAGCAAAACAAAACTTCAGAAAATGTAACAAAAAAGATAGCTTATCTTTAGCACAAATCAAACTATCAGACATGCAAACGTTCAGCATGGACTTTACCCCAGGGTTAGCAGTGGCCAGCTTCAGATGTTTAGTCAGTTTGTAGCACAAGTGCAGCACACAGCCAGGTCTCCTTTCAACTCCTATACTGCATCTAGTACTGCATCTAGTACTAAGGGCTTTCTGTTTTTTGTGCTGCTTCCTGGAGGCTGCTTAACCTCGTAAGGACTGGGGTCCCCGTAGTCCGGAGTGGAGGTCCTTTTCCCACCCATGTCACTTCAGACCTCCTAAATTCTAGGTGCAAAATAAGTCTCTACTAATACCAAGATGGCTGTGAGTCAGTCCTCTCCTTTACTTGACGACCCCGGAATTCCTCACCCATCAAGGGACCATAACCTAAATATTGTTGCCACATAGCACCCATCTAGGATCCATCCTTGGCATCCTTTACACCACCCACCAACAACACCCCCTAGTGGTGACATCAGACGCAAGGGTAAAAAGACAAATACACGGTAGAGGTCAAAGTAAGATCACAAAGGAAGCAAATCACAATAGTCTATCAAAAAAGCAAAAAAAACCCCCAAATTTTAACTTAAAAAAAGCTGTTCAGAAAAAGCTCCTGCCCTGTATGTGTCATTTACCCTTTCGACGTGTGATGTTCTCACTAGGGGGTGTTGTTGGTGGGTGGGACTTTGGGTTTATTGGTCCATTCACTTTCATGTGGTAGCATCATGAGAAAGATAGACTGTGCTTCATTGTTGACAATAAAAATGCTGCAATTTTTATATATCTTCTCTGCAAATCCATGAGTGTCTATATACCAGTTTTGGATTTGTATGGATTTCTTTGTGGGTGAGCACCTGGGCATTTACCTCCAACACAGAGTAACGTGGCTACCCTTGGGACTATATAACATACCCCTATATCCACTGTCCCCTGGATTTTC